GTCGTTTTCGGCGGACATCTGCGAGTAAATCATGATGATTAAGTAGGTCCGTGCTAATGATGGGCATTGTGACGTCAGCGAGAAGGAAAATCCCCCGAATATGTTTGCGTAAACCTACGTTCAGATAGACGTATTTCCTACCAGATGTTGCGATTGGTTTTCCATTTTCAGCCTGTAAGTTGAAGGTAGGTTCCTTCTGGCAATTTGCTGCTGTAACAGGAAGGACGCTGACTTCGGCGCCTGTGTCGACTAAATATCGAGTCTGGCTGATCACATCATGGATGTAAAGTAGGCGGCTAGTGCCACCGGCGACGATTGTCTCTAACACGTGCCGGCGGGAAAGATTCCTGCAGAATTTGAGACATTGCCGAAGTTACAAGGCTTACGGCGACATTTCGCTGCTTGGCCATACGTGTTGTGGTACCAGAACCAGTCAGGGTTTTTCAGTGAACGTGGCTTGGACTTAGATCCACCATGTGAGTTTCGCCGTTGAGGGGATTTAGGACGACGGCTGGAGGAGTTAGAAGGCATGTTTGACCTAAACATCTGCTGAATGGAGTTGCATAACTCTATCATTGCAGGATCCTTACTCGAAGTCTGCTTGGTCATCGAGCATATTTCAGTAACTGGCCGTTTAGTTATTTCTAGAACTTTATCTGAAGAAATTGCTAAATCATCTATAATAACACCCTGAAATGTCATGAGTACAGTCTGCACGGACTGTGGCAGCTTGGATAAGAAGATTTCTCTAAAAATTCCTTCATTGAACTGACTTTGGCCAATAACCTCTCTCATTCTTTTCAGCATACTCACGGCTGACTGATCCCCTAACTCGATGCTACGAAATAATTCGTCCAGACGTTGTCGATCCATGAGAACGTTTCTCCTGAGGAGAGAAGCCTTTACCAACTAGTGGGAGTTACTTACCTCGGGACTCGACATCTGCAAAGTTACGCGTCGGTGGTATAGCGGTTAGGACGCTCGCCGACCATGCACATGGTCCGGGGTTCGATCCCCGGCCGACGCACACCTTTATCTCTCTAAGCCAGAAATAATTCTGGTAAAGAGCAAAGGTTGGGCATGAGGCTAGCTACCCCATCCTGTAAAATAAACTCTGCTACAGAAACTTGAAGCTACTAGCTCGAAGCCCTATGTTCCACTGGGGAACGTGAAGGAAAAATTATTATTAAATTATTTATTCCAGTTAGAGGTGTACGAAGTTGTAGCCAAGCCTATTGTTACAGTGAGTGAGTTCGTTTCTCCCTAAAGCTTCCAACTAGCGGTAGATCATGCCTTATACGTCGGCAGGCTTAAAACCCTATGCGTTCCGTTAAACCTGCCCCCCTTCGTCCACAGTCCAGTGATGTTTTTGTTTACCCGTGTTTGAAAACCTCTTCACACGTATAAAGTAATTAAACGTACAGATAAATTCTTTGTTTTAGGCAAAAAAGGTCGCGAGGACGCCATCAGCATTGACCGTCTGAAACCTGCTTACTTGAGTATAGAGCTAAGCGTACCCCATAATCCACAAGTAAACGAATATCCTTGGAAGACTTTCAGGAACTATGCTCAATAGCCAACGCAAAAAACTAGAGCACAGATTGGTGACTCAAGAACCATTTATTCTTGCACCAACAAAGAGCCAACCATTAGGTTATTGTGCACGGAGTCTAAGAATAAATGTCATAAAAATAAATCACAATAATACTTCTGGTAGTTTTTCTCTGTCTTCCACCGAACAGCGAACTATGAAACGATGACTGCAGTATCGATAACTCCCGCCAAAATATGTAGTTGGGTTTGAGCAAACAACCATGAACTGGTAATTCACTCTTCAACTACATTAACATATTCAGTTGCCGGACACTTTGATTCAACCAATCAACAGAAAAATCTAAATTGAACAACACAAGTGATGACTTCCTTTAAAATCAATTAATTTTATTTCTTTAGAGATTCCCTGTTAAATATTGAAGTAAATGTAAAATATTTTTTGACTAGATATTAATCAGAGACTTATTTCATCTTTTTTATTTTCACGTTACCCAGTGGAACATAGGGCTTCAGACCAGTGGGTTGAAGTTTCTGTAGCGGTGTTTATTTTACAGGATGGGGTTGCTAGCCCCATACCCAACCTTTCCTCTTTACTAAAATTATTTCTGTTTCGGCGAGGTAAAGGAGTGCGTTGGCGGTCGGGGATCGAACTCCGCACCATGTACATGATAGGCAGGCGTCCTAACCGCTATGCCACCGCCGTGTTTCATCTGCCTAGTTCTAACTTCGGTGCAGAGTGAATTCTCTTAATCATGCTTGAAATGTCTGATACACTCCTACAGTCGCTAGTCTGAACAGCTCAGTGGTAACGTCTCCGAATCCCAAGGGGGACATGAGTTTTTTCGAGGTTGCGGATGCGCCCTGTTGATGAGTGTCAACTTTAGTTTCAAGGCTTCCTGTTGACTGACTCCAACCATCTGATACCAAAAAAGAGACCTGTTGTGCACGCATTCTGTGGGGAGGCTACTGTAATAAATTGTTTGATGTTTCGCTGCATAAATTAACTATCAGTCTTCAATAAACCTATGAAAGGGCTAATTTTCAGCTGGCTCAATTGTCTGTCAATTAGCACAAAATTTTGTCTATATACTTGTCAGCCAGACAACTAAACAGTTAGAGTTCAGCACACTGATGTACAAACATGGCTAAAATGCCACATAAAACACCCACCTTTTCCATTTTGCTAACCATTTTCTTTTGTTCACTAAAATTTTTACATCACGACAAATTTTATTTCATTCACTCTTATTCCCATATTTCCCATGCACTTATCGATTTTTCATTTAACCCGATTTCGAATGAAATATTGCCCACGTCTTTGGCTACTTTTCCTTACCCCCGAAAAACCTCATAGTCCGAATCCACAATTCAGAAAAGATTAGAATTTAATCACACTAACACTGGTGTGGTAAGATTACGCCATTGGTGTGGTGGATGTTTTCCAGCAGTTTCAATTTTTCGACGGAATATTCTACAGAAGGGGTCATAAATTTTCATTTCGGAAATAATTTTAAACTTTCAACCAACCAAGAGCTGTTCTCTCGACAGATATGTAGGGGAAAATGAATATGAACAAGGTATAGGTTGAGGAGACTGTCGAACTGCATTGCGCGCCAACCAGGTCATTGCTCGAGTGGAATTCAAATGGGAAGCGACAAGTGGCTCGTCTGTGCGAGGGTGACATGGAGGAGATAGTGAGGGGAGGAGGAGATGAATGATTATGGTCAATCGTGGACCCAACTGAAAAGGACAGAAGTGAATAGAAGAAAGTGAAGATGTATTACTGAATTCTTATTTCCCACTCGTAACTCGAGGGAATTATAGTAATTATAATAACCAACTCACGATATATCTTCTACTTCACTTACTAACAGGTAATCGTCATTACTTTAAATTAGCCTTTAAAATTCAATTTGATCATAACTCATTCCTTGTTGAATTACGTCTTTCTCATTGTCAAGGAGCTATCAGCCCACATAGCCGGCCCCTTGACCACGATCTTCAAGCTATCTCTCCAAAATGGAGTGTTGCCACGTGATTGGAAAGACGCCATAGTAACTCCCATACACAAAGGAGGATCAAGACAAAGCCCTTCAAATTACAGGCCTATCAGTCTCACCAGCACTTTAATCAAGACACTGGAAAGAATTATCAAGAAAAGCATCATGGCTTATCTGGAAAATAGCAGCTTGTTATCTGGAGCACAGCATGGCTTCCGGAGGAACCTCTCATGCCTGTCAAATCTCCTGACTGCAAGAGAAAGCTGGGTTAAATCAAAGGATGACAGAAGACCCGTTGACGTCGTCTTCATAGACTTCAGTAAAGCCTTTGATAAAGTACCTCACAAAAGACTACTCATGAAATTGGAAAGTCTTGGTATCAAAGGCAGACTACTAGACTGGCTCAGGGAATTCCTCATAGATAGGAGGCAGAGGGTTAGGATCAACTCAAAACTCTCCTCCTGGACAGCAGTAAGTAGCGGAGTGCCACAAGGCACGGTTCTCGGTCCTCTCCTTTTTATTCTGTATATCAATGAGTTACCTCTGCTGACCGACTCCCCTATGGTCCTATACGCAGATGACTTAAAAATTTGGAGGGAGCTGAAGGGCAACAGTGATACGTCCACCTTGCAAGACGACCTCAACAAACTGTCGGAGTGGTCTGTTGAATGGATGCTCCCGATCAACGTGGCAAAATGTGCAACCATGCGCATTGGACAAGCAAGCACGAGCTCCTACGAACTAGAGGGAATAACACTTCCATCAGTTCAGACTCACTTGGACTTAGGTGTCATAGTTAGCCACGACTTAAAAACTACAGCACACTGTCGCGCGGTGGCTGCACGTAGTTTCAGGTCCTTATGGGCGATTCGCAGAGCCTTTACAAGAATTACCAGAGATATGTTCACCTCCTTATACACATCTCTGGTTAGGTCAAGACTGGAAAACTGCATCCAGGCCGCCAGTCCGTGTCTAAAAGGGGATTCACACATTCTAGAAAGTGTTCAAAGGAAGGCAACACGTATGGTTCACGGCATAGCTAACTTATCATATGAGGAAAGACTAGATAGTTTAAATCTCTTCTCACTGTCATACCGTAGGCAGAGAGGAGATTTAATCACAATGTTTAAAATTTTAAATAATGACTACGGACCTGACCTATTCTCTCTTTTCCTTCCCACCAGGTCGGAACACCTTAGAGGACATAGCAGGAAAGTTCAAAAGCCAAGGAGAAATCATATTGCTGTTGAGTACTGGTTCTCACATCGAGTCATAAACTCTTGGAACCGACTCCCAGAAGAAGTGGTGTCTGCAACCTCAATTGATTCGTTCAAGAAGGGTTTGGACAACCACAGAAATCTACTAGAAAAGGATTAACATAGGCTGCAAGCCTTCTATCCTCAAACAATAAATCTGAAATCTGAATCTGAAAAGAATTAAAACGTCCTTTGTGATAGCGCGGCATATGAACTTGGCGGTGACTCAAGGTCACGTTTGTCAGAAATGGATAAAAGTTCTACTTCTCAGGGTCGGGTTCGTTACAAAAGTCTCAGTGGCGAGAAGTATATGGTTGTATGGGATAATAGCAAGGTTAGTAATTTCACCTTCTTCATTGTTCAGGCTTTATGTTTCAAGTATTCTTAGCTCTATGTAAGATTTTATCAAAACTAGTTATTTTGGGTTTAGTTTTACTCCATCACTAGCACTTACAAAGAGAAATAAAACGTGTCTCTTACGCTGAAAACATGATTTAACCTGGAGCCACTTTTTTGGTTTCAGAACTGTATATTTTTTATTACTAGGTAACTGTTTGCAATTTAACTTCACTTAACCAAGGGAATTTTACCATTAAGGTTCGATTTCATTTGGTGCCTTTTCTCCATTCGTGTTTCATGGTGCTCTGCTTTCGTAGTTTTTGTTTTGTTTTAGAATTTGTAAACTCAAAGCAATGCACTTTAATAAAACTTTGTATGTCAACTATTAGCCATTTAATAATTATGCGCTGTAATTGTTTAGTAATGGATAAGTGGTTACTTAGTTGTTCTGGAAGTATTGTAAAGACATACCTAGGGATAAGTGCATTTTATTCAGTGTACCCCGGTTTGTTATAATAATAATAATCATGTGTAAGCCCCTAAAAGAATATTGGAATCCATAAGTTACCTTACAAAAGACTCTCTCTACATATATATATATATATATATATATCAATTGATCATTTCAGCTTTGTTGATTTTCGCACCCTAAATTCTTGAAGTTTTATTCAATAAATGGGTAAATGGTAAAATTGGTCGTTGCTAATGTTAAATGGTCATTGAAACGTGTTAATTACGGTTAATTATATGTGAATGTTCCTCATTGCTTACTGTAAGATATAGCCTCTGGAAATAAGCATGAAGATGTTATGAATTTTTGACCACCTGCACCATTTTTTTCATTCGTTCATGATTAGTGGAACAGTGTGGAATGAAGTAACGAGTGTTAGCTTACAGTGTTAAATAAGGATGAGTGGATCGATAAATAGAAGTATTACGCATCACATTCCTCAGTGTGGTTATGTTGACTGAGGTAAAATCTTTTCGGAAAAGATGTGGTCAAACCAAAACATGCCATTAATCGATTAGTTCATTGGCTATTGTTTTGAGTCGCGTAGACAGGAGCAAATGTTCTGACTGGAATACTAATCTACGGTGGTTTGGTGTAAACTAAGGATGATGAGCCAATGAAGTCTTAAATTGAGATAATACTTAATGAATCCAGGCCTGAGTAGTTATAACGACACAGTGTGCGTCGGTGGCCCGGCGGTGAGGATGCTATCGCCGACCATACACATGTTCCGGGGTTCGCTCTCCGGTCAACTCACACCTGATATCAATGGTCGGCTTGCTAAGCTTAGACTACCGATATCGGATGCTGGAAAACCCATAGTTGTACCAAAATACGATGTGGAATCAAGCTATAATAAGAAAAAAGAAAATTTATTTCTTAGTTTTTAATTTGATTACTGTAATTGGTTACTAAAACGTAAGAATAAAATTATTAGAATTGGTTTACATAGTCTCGAAATGTACAAAAATCCAGTGATCTGGGTGAGGCCGAACAATTACAGTCTTACTGATTATAAGGCCAATTTTATGTTGATGATAGCCAAAATGAGTTGTCAGTGAGATACAAATTTTTCCTATGTTATAAAATGCGAAAAATATGCTTTATACATTTATTCCCTTTATTGGATTTGAATGAAGCAAAAACAACAGATTTTGCAGAATAAAATGGTATCATCAATGCTTATTTCGTTGGCTTTTCATCAGCTGCTTGCAGACCAAAGTCACTATTAAGTGTATCTACAGAAACGACTTTAACATATTTGCACAGAGTTCATTTTTAAACAAAAATCAATCAATCAATATATGAACCCCTTCAGAAAGAAGCAGGTATCAGTCTTTCTTTCCCTTGGTAACTGCATATTTTCACCTCTTCCATCTGATTACTTAATGTTGAAAGTTTCCATTGTGTATGATCATTATTGTTCGGAAGTGTTTGATATTACATATATATATATATATATATATATATATATATATATATATATATATATAATTACTGTATGCATATATTGATTGATTGATTTTTGTTTAAAAATGAACTCTGTGCAAATATGTTAAAATCGTTTCTGTAGATACACTTAATAGTGACTTTGGTCTGCAAGCAGCTGATGAAAAGCCAACGAAATAAGCATTGATGGTACCATTTTATTCTATAAAATCTGTTGTTCTTGCTTTATTCGAAAATTATATGTTGACTCCTTTGTTTGGGAAGTATGCTCACTGAGCAATCACAGTCAAAGGTGAATTTAAGCTTAAACATGTAAAGTGCATTCAGCGCCCATACGGTCAAATTGATTCCAACCGATAACTCTTACGCTGACGTGGTAGTCAAACTTGCAGATACTAATGGCCCAACAAATTACATTGGCTAAAAAGAATTTTCCTGCGGGTCATTTTATGCCTTTAAGGAAGCTTGAATAACGTTTAAACTATCAGCAGTTAGCACCTTAGTGTGATTCGTTTACACTACGTTAGAGGGTTAGGCTGTACACCCAGCGAATGGGAATGTAACAGCTGTAAGATATTTTCTTAGATGACCAGCAAGCTAGCTGTGCCACCTCGCAAATCTGTAGACGGAGGATAGAGAATGTTAATACAGAAGTGTACGTTTTAAATCCCCCTGTGACTGTTCGTAGGCGTAGTTAAGATCTCTGTGCTGTTGATAACATGGGTCACAGTTATTTTCAATGGTGCAAATGCATTGACTCTTTGTGTTATCCTAGATCCATTATATCCCCACTATTCTCCACGTGACTAGTCTTTCTGCGTGACATTTCTGCTCATTGAAGTTCCTTCGGTTCTTTTTTCTTTCCTCTCCCTTTGTGTGCCATATGGAGTATGGTAGCTTGAAGTTACACACTGCTGTGTAAAGCTGTGTTGAATTTCAGTCATACACTTGTAGATATTTGTCAAGATAGTATGAATACTTGTAATTATTACGTTGTAGTACAGATTCTTAGGAGCTTTTTATTTTTGTTTTGTGTATCTTGCTTTATTTGTCCGAGGCTTGTTATAGTAGCGTGTTGTCGAGCCACCTGGTGGAGTGGTGACCACATTGCAAACTTGACAAATACGGGAATTTAGTCTGCACTGAACAAAGGACTAGATTCATTGTACTAGTTGCCAACTAGTGTCCAATCAAAATATTCTGAATATAACTTCAACTGATTTCAACATTAAAAGATTAGCTGTCTTTGATCATAGGAGCCTGCGTTGTCTCCTGTGTGAAGTGGTATAATTAGGTGAACGATATTGAGGTTAGGTATCGGTCGAGTGTTAGGTTAGGACGGAGGGGAAATCAATCGACGAGACTGTGAAATTACATCGACTGAGATGTTTAGGACGTGTGTTACGTATGTCTAGCCATCGCCTTCCTCGACAATGAGCAATGTTAGCTGACAAAATGCAGTCTTCTGAACACCTTGAGCAACAATCTTCGTATGTTTGGCATGCGATTCGCCCATACAAAATGTAAGATGCTGCTACAGGACTGGACTACGTCAACTCCTAGCTTAGTGATAGGGAGTGAAGTGATAGAACATGTTGACCACTTCACCTATTTGGGAAGTTGTATTAGCACCAACGGACTGATTGGCAACGAAATCTCAGCAAAGATCCAAAAAGCTCGAGCTGCTTTCGCTGACTTACACCATTTCTGGAGTAGGCGTGACATCTGGCTATCAACCAAGGGACGTGTGTACTGCTCAGCAGTTCGCTCCGTCCTTCTCTATGGCTCTGAAACATGGCCAATACGAGTTGAAGACATGAAAAGGTTGACTGTTTTCGATCATAGATGTCTGCGATCTCTTTCTCACGTTAGGTGGTTTAATAAGGTAAGTAATGTTGACGTTAGGCGTAGAGTGTTGGGCAAAGAGGGAAAATCAATCGATGAGGCTATAAAGTTACATAGATTGAGATGGCTAGGTCAGGTGCTGCGCATGCCTAACCATCGCCTCCCTCGCCGGGCATTACTAGCTGATATAGGTGCTGCAGGTTGGAAAAGAGTAAGTGGTGGCCAAACAGAAACATGGCCTCATCAATCCATGAAATCCTCGACAGTTCAACTGAGTCAGGTAGGGAGGGAGATGAAGACTTCCGGGTTGAGGCTCTCGGGACTCTAGGAATCAATGGCTGGAGACAATAGGTGACATGGCTCAAAATCGTTGTCAATGTTCAGCCCAGATGTATTCAGTCTCTGTAATCTTTCATATTCCTTTCTACCATTACCCATTCTGTTTCACTCTTATACTTGTCAGACTGTATTGATTCTCTTCACCCATCTTCTTGTCTACCTCTGTGTGCTATAGATATTATAGAGAAGATTTGTAGCTCAGGTGGATGATTTTGATGTGGTTTTGTTCTCTGAGCTGGATGGTTAGTTTGCGAAGCTTTCATCACCTTACTGGGTGACATCTTCAGCGCATACTTCAATTTGAAGTGAGTCAAAATTCACGTCAAAGAAACAACCGGTTCCAATACAAGTAACCTAGGTGTGAAAACACACAAACAACCAATCACGTCCAAGGTCACCAGGAGAGATGATTAATAAACTCGTGGAGAAATCTAAAAGCTCACTTCAAATTGAAGTATGCGCTGAAGATGTCACCCAGTAAGGTGATGAAAGCTTCGCAAACTAACCATCCAGCTCAGAGAACAAAACCACATCAAAATCTGTGTGCTATTTTGAACGCGGCAACTCGAACTGCTGCACTTTGGTGCGAGGTTCTATGTTGAATCCAGACAGACAAACAAAATGTTAGCTGACAGGGTCAGACTGAAAAAGAGCTACCGGTGGTCAAACTAAAACATGGCCTCTGTCTGTCTGTCTGTCTGTCTGTTTTCGACATAGAACTTTGCACAAATGTGCGGAAGTTCAGGTCGCCACACTCCGTGTAGCACGCGAAGCAAGAGAAGAAAGTACAAGAAAAGCATAATAGAAACAGTGAGCAGAGATGTGAGACAAAGGAGGAGTAATAAAGAAAA